CGTTTGACTTACACCGTTCAATGGTAATCACTAAGGCTAATCGTCAGCTTGGTTTTATATCAAGAATCTCAAGAGATTTTTCGGATCCGTACTGTTTAAAAGCACTGTACTGTTCACTCGTTCGTCCGATTATCGAGACTGCATCTATTGTTTGGACTCCCTACCAACTTTCCTGGAACATCAGAATAGAACGTATCCAAAAAACATTCATTCGTCGAGCATTAAGACAACTTCCTTGGAGAGATACACTAAACTTACCTCCGTATGCTGAGAGATGTCGCTTGCTAAGCATGGACACGTTACAACGACGGCGACAAATTCAACAGGCAACATTCGTCGCGAAGTTATTAAGTGGTGAAATTGACTCTACCCACTTACTCTCTTGCTTGAACTTTCGTGCGCCAAGCAGATTTCTACGCTCAACGTTCCTATTGCGTCAAGACTCACACCGCTCTTCTTTTGGACAACATGAACCTGTTACGAGTATGATTCGCACGTTTTCTACAGTTGAAGAGTTGTTCGAGTTTGGGGAACCTGCTGCTCAATTCCAGAGACGTATTATTAACTCCAGATACATTTAGTATTTGTTTTGGCTTATGGTTCATTAAGACTTATTGTCAGATGGATGTATTAAATAAAAAAAAAAAATAAATAAAAATCTCTAGAAACCTGTTTCGAGCATGGTAAACAATGCTTAAATTAGGCTAAGCGTTGAATAAAAAATGGTACAAGTTAAACAAGCATAGTTTATTTAATAAGTACAGGAATCCATTATTTATCATATCACAAGTGACGTAGCTACATAGTTACTTAGATCCAAGATTAGTAGCGATAGCGATTAAGTAATTTGGCAATGAAAATTCAGCATAGTTTTGAACTATATCTTTAAATCAATTGCACCTAGAAATAAACAAAAAATCACACATTTATTGTAATATATTCTTACACACATATTGCAATTGTCAAAGAAGAAAAGGTTTTCCTCAAAGAACAACTCATGAAATAAAGCATGGTAGATTCTGTGATTTTTCATTCAATAACGAAAAAACAGCTAAGGTTGAATAAAATATGATGCCAAAAAACAGCTCATGAAATGAAGAATGGTGAATTCTGTGATTTTTCATTCAATAACAAAAAAACATACCTGCTGCTTCCAGGATTTCCTGCCATACTTTTCGATACAACGATTCTGTTTTTGTTGTCATCAGAATGAAAACTACCGGAACCGTCTGCTGATGTGAGGGAGCGATAGTTCCATGAACAGTGACGACTTTCCGAAACAAACAAGGAACTGTGGCAAACGTACCATCTGTAACCCAATAGTTTGCCTGTCCAAGACGTCGCATGTTTTCATGAGTTCCAAAAATTAAGGCTCTTTCATTATTGTCACCGAAGTCAGCTATCAATAGACGGTCCCCATTATCATCCTTCTGAAATTCATGCCTAACGTCCATTATGCCTAACGTCCTTTATGCCCAACGTCTATTATGCCTATCGTAAATTATGCCTAACGTCCGTATGCCTAACGTCCGTATGCCTAAAGACCATATGCCTAACGTCGTGTACCGCTCCGGAGGATCTGGAACATCTGTAAAATGTATTGCTTCGTAAATTTGATCAAAGTAGGCCTACATTTTTCTCTGCATTTATATGCAATGCGGGAAAATGGGGTTTGCTAATATGTTAGCTAGTCATTGGATCCAAGAGGTCACCAGATGACCCACCAGAAGATCCTGAAAATCCGGAAGAATGATTTTTGTGTACATTTGATCAAAGTAGGCCTTGATTTATTCTGATACTATATGTAATGTAGTAAAATTGAGATTTTTTTGATTTATTAGCTGGCCATTGGCACCAAATGGTAACTAAATCCGGACCATCCGTAGAACTGATTGCTATGTTAATTTTATAAAATCAGGCCTTGTTTTTTATCTGCAACTAGGGTTAACTACCTCATTTCCGGCCTATTAAGCACAACCCGCACTTAGTCTTTTTTTAATCTAGCCCAGTTTAGCACCAAACGGAATGTTATTATTACTGATGTCTTTCAAATTTATTTACCTTTCCGCACGTACCGCAAGATTTGAAAAAGAGAAACCAATTGTTGAGATGTTGTCAAAAGTCTAACACTGCTTCTTGACACCAAACTCGGCCTACGGATTCTAAACTCGGCCTAACGCATTGAAACGCCATCGAAACGCCAATGAATTCACATCGGCCTATCGGAGGAAGATGAAAATTGATTCGGTCAGAGCGTTTCTTTTGTTTTGGAAATAATGGGTGCAAACCTTCATACCACGCGTTCTCATTGACTTCGTTCGGTAGCTTATTTACTCAAGTATCGTAACAAACGCATATTTGACTTGTTAACTCTGAAATCATGGATTTATTTGAAGTATTCTGCTCGATAGGCCCAAAATGGGCGATTAGGCCGAAGTAGTTCTCTACCCTATATGGAATGCACTAAAATGACTATTTTTGATATATAAGCTCGGCATTGACTCCAAGTGGTCTCCGGATGACTCACCGGAAGATTTGTAACATCCGTAAGATTGAAAATTCATGCCCTCTCTTAAAAGAGCGCCCATAATTGTAATTACGGGAAGTGCATACAAAACTAGAGTAGGAAATATTCCTGAAATTTTTTAAATATTCCTGAAATTCATGGAATTTACCATAATTTCTCGGAAACTCTTGGAAGTTCCAGCAAATAATTATTGGAACTGCCCTGAAGTTCTCTGATTATCCTTCAAGTATTTGAAATATCCCTGAAAATTGTGAAATTGCCTAAAAATCTCTAAACTTCTCTGAAATTCTATGGACTTTCCTGAGGATCTCAGAACTGCAGTTTCCGGAAATTCCCAGAATTTCTAGTTAAGTTAATTGAAGCATGAGCAGCGTATAATCCTGGATCAAAAATTTGGTCGGAGGTAGATACCGAAGATGTACATCGATCGATGTGAAAGCTTCAAACATACGGAAACTTGTTCAATTTGATCACAGTTTACTACAGACACCGCTGTACACTGCAGACTAGTTTTTACTGCAATTAACACACCACCACCTCTAGTAAGATTGCTGGTGGACTCACTACGATCGCAGCAAAATAACGAGAAATCTGACATCAGTTCAACAACGCTTATGTCTCAGTGAGAACGACCACATCGTAGTCACAACTGGATAATCCTAGCTTGAGTTCGGTCGTTTTGGTGCGCAGACCTCTTACGTTCTGGTAGTAGACGGACAGGAAACGCTGTGGCTCCGATGCTCCACCGTTGTTGCTAAAACAGTTGCTTGTCGAAATCGTAGAAGCTTGTCCGTAAGAATATAGAGTTCGTCTAGTAGGCGCTATCGATAATGCTGCAACTGGAATTGAACAGAGTATCAGGAGGGGGCAATTGTACGGACGGAAGATACTTGCCTGGAAGAGCAGGCTGGAAGACCCCTTCCTTAGCCACAGACACAGCACCAGGACGGCTGCGACGGCAGGAACTAGGATGATGCTGCCGTTGTAGAAATAAAGCGGTAGTATGATCGGTCTCGACTGTTCTGGGCGAAGAAGGAGCTTCCATAGTGCTTTTTGACATGCGTCCCGGCGAAGAAGGTGGTGGTTGATGAGAAGTTTGATGACTGCAAACGTTTCTTGGAGGGTTGCTGAAATCCGAAGTTTTGTGAGAGAGCGAATCCATGAATGAATTCATACCATAATTGTACTTGCCTGACAAGACAGGCTGGGTAACCCTGTCTCCGAGTTCGAACACAGGACCGGGACGACTGGGGCTGGACCTGATGACATGTGGCTCGACAGTGCCGAAAGGATAAGGGCCACCCGTAGAACCTGTTTGATTGCATTCCAGGCTGACATCTATACTGGATGATGATTTCATGGCAGCTTTCGGACGAGATGTAGCATAACCGTTTTTTTTTAAACTATGGTCAAATTCACAAACAGTGACTCCATCTGGCCAGTACAAAGAATCACCCACTACATTGGATGCAGTTTTGCTAACGATCACGTTGAAGGTAACGAATGAGAGATCCTCCATACTTTTCCCGCGTGGAACTAGCTTGACAACTTTAACCGACGCAAAATCGTTGATATGTTGTTTCACGTCGTCCTCTTTTTGGTTTGGGGTAAACGGGGTCACGTAGAATGCTTCCAAATCGTCAGGCGTCTGGCCCGATTTTGTAACGCTTAGAGGTCCAGTACTAGGCCTTTTCCAGCGGGATGGTTCCTGTTCACACTACCGGGCAGGGTAATAGTACCACTGGTGAACTCGCTAGCATTAACAGTGTTCAGCTGGGTGCCATAATTACCAGTTTCTGGTGTTGATTCAATCGGGCTGGCTAGCATTAACAGTGTTCAGCTAGGTGCCATCATAACCAGTTGCTGGTGTTGTTTACTACAACAAGCCTGTCGGGTTGATGGGCAACTGTGCTGTTAATCTTATCCAAGACTTCGAAAAAAGACGTCTCATCACAGGATCTCGAACGATTGATGGGAGCAATAGTGTCGTCGAGATTCTGTTCTGGGCGATCGATGTTTTGGTGGAATTTTGACTGATCGATCGATTGGCTTGAATATTGAAACTTGGTTAGTCCCACACAGGTATGATGAAAAATCAGACCACATGAACCGCTGCCCGATTACCTTCCCAGAATTCAAAAATAGCGTGCAAGCTTGGCAAATATCCATGTTGTTGAGAGAGTAAGCAGATCACAATTGGTTCACGGTACAATGCCTACGACGGTTAGGATGCGAAAGCGCCTAGATGTCGCTTCGGGATGTAATTTTCTGCGATAAGGAACAAAATTAGCAAATTTTACGAAATTCTGAGAACCACTATATCGTTTTGCTATGGAATGGATACCACTTGGTTTGCGTTGACCAGAAAAGTAATTTAAATTTATCAAAATAACTTACATGGAATTCAAATAAAAGTTGTAATGGACAAATTCAGCTCTTTTCTCATAGTTTCATGTATTTTCTTCCATTGCAGCACGCGAGCCCTGTTCCGGATGAACGATGTTCACGCTGTCCAAGCTGTCCAATGAAGATGGTCCATCACCCAATGGTAGCAGCGGTAGCAACAGCAATAGTAACAGCAGCGGAAGCACTAGTAGTAGTAGTAGCACCAGTCCCGGTCCCTCTGCCTTCGACACTTCGGCAGATTCTTCGGCGGCCGCTGTTACCGCATCCAGTCCCTCCGCGTGGAATCTTGAACTTGACCTGCAAATGATCGAAGAAGACATGCAAGTGATCGACACGATCGATCAGAGCTATTGGAATGGGAAATTTGTACCGCCACCGCCGAGGCCTCCCTTTCTGGAGGAGTCGATTGCACCCGATGGGCTGACCACGTGCGATCTGTGCAGCTGGGCCTGGCAGGATAAAGGAACGCTGTCCCTCGACGGAGCAATAAGTATGTTTAAATCGACTCGAGGACAGTTTGGGTTGCTAGTTGTTAAATTAGAGGAAATTTTCTCCCCCACAGATACCAAGGAGTTTAGCTGGACGTTTACGCTGGTCGTAGTCTCGCTCACATCGGCGGTGCTCGGTGCCATAATTATGATAGTTTTTCTTAGATGTAAGAGGTAAGCAACTTACTCATCTTTCAATAAGAGTGTAGAATCAAAGTGATTTTCTGTTTCTAGGATACGAACCAATCAGAACGGTTTACGAACGCTGTGCTTCGATTCGAGTAGTAACAAGGATACAGCGGGACTAAACTTTGACAACCAAACATCGAAGAATTCGACTAACGGGTCGTGTAGTCCGAGGAGTACGAACTCTGGACTTTGGACGTGGTTCAGCAGTCGAAAAAATCTAACTACGCCGGATCAGCTGGTCAACTCCCATACACTGCCAGTGGAAAATCACTACACCCACATGGATGACAACAACTACAATCCTGTCCAGATAGACGAAGCGTCCTACGCCGAAGTGGGTAACGAAATGGGTCCATCTGAAACGAATTCATACAAGTCGAGCTCCGTGCATCATGTGAGTAGCGTGTTAACTTCGATTGAACGGTAGACTGATGTTCATCTATCATATTTCTTGACAGGGAGGCGATAACGACATTCTGATTATGAATTGCCCTCTGCCAGCGATTCCGACCGGATCGCACAGCGGAGGAGCTAGCGGTTCTGGCAGTGCATACTACTCAGGACTGCTCAACAGTGCCAACATGCCCAGAGACGAGGACGAAGACGAACGGCCTTACGAGATCGTCGATCTGAAGGAAATGTCCTCGCCCCACAAGAGTCACAATGTACAAAGTCACTTTCTGAACGAGACTAACAATCTGCTGACCATCGAGAAGCACTCGGAAGGTCTACCAGAAGGAACTATTTCAGCGTCCGATTACGTTTAAGTTCCACATTTTAATTTTCTGGAATGTGCTTCGCGCTAGCTTAAGTTCACTTGTACAATATTGGTTCAAATTGTTTAAAGCGACAGCGATTTAATCTCAACTTAGAATGATCTTTTGTGAATATTATTTCCGTAGATGTGTGCGTATTTATTTGAAAACAAAAGAACTTTAAATGTAATTTAACGCTAAATTATTGATCCACTTCAGAATATTAGCTAAACGAACAAAAATCAACGAGAGCTTAACAAATAAGGGAGAAAAGCCACGTGAAAGCAATCGACTGCAAATAAGTCTGAACATGAAACATTCCGTCACAAAATTGTCCAACAATGCACCCCCTTCCATCTCCCTCTCTCTTAATACGTGTAGAATTGTGTGATCCTTTGTAGCCTTAGAAAGACTCCAGACAAGTAGCAAAAGTAGCAAAAAGTTGTATTTAAATGTGAAACATTTTGATATTATATTCTATACGAGCGGAAACAGCGAGGTCGAACCAAGCAACAGCGTAGAAAACAAAACAAAAAATGTAACGATTTTACAAGTTTTTACAATTTAAACAACAACAGACAAGAGAAAACCCTGTACAACCTAGTCGTAAGTAAACGAACGTATTTGTATGATATATTTACGCCCCAGCTCCAAATACTCTCAATCTCTCTAGCTTTAGAAGAAAATCGAGCAAAGCCTAGCGAAATGTGCTTCAGGTGGAACCCAGATTGACCATTTTAGAACACATCATCAAGCCAACACATGAATTTAAAATAAAGCAGTGAAATTTTCAATTAAATTGAGCAAAAAGCTTTTTGAAAGTGAAATCACATTGTTCGCCTGTTTTCCATACTCGCTACTATCCGAAATTCCACCCAGTAAGTAACGTTGGTAGATCACCTTTTCGTTGTGCGTTACTGGTGTAAGATCTATCGAACTCCGGCCCTAGGCTCTTCTTGTTGATGGTTATGAGACTCTGTTTTGGGATTGGAAACAAGAAAAGGTTGCATGGTCAAATATCAGTATCATCGTCTGTTTTTGTCGCTAAAAAGATCTTCTTTTTTTATTGTTTAGAAGGCGTGTTTAAATGATACGGAACATCACAATTGAATGAGGATTAATGTAATCCACGTAGACCAAAGTTTTATTATTTTTAACCCCTCCCTCCCCTAGTAGACTATAAAAGACTTTTCTGAAATCCCTCCTCCCCTCTCCTAAAGCATACGTAGACTTTCATAATTATGAAACAAATTCAAAATCGGTGAATTGTCTCAGATTATATTGTATTCATAATTTTAAAACGATTTTTGCAAATAATATATTCAAAATACCAAATAATTTTGGTATTCATGACAGATACATATTTCGACTACAATGTGCAAAATTATTTAAGTGGGAGTTTTTTGATGAGAATATAGAATATTCCATCATCACCTGGAGCTTTCATATTTTGCAACTTTTTGGTTATAGACCTTACTTCGTCCAAATCAGTCCCCCAGGAATCATCAAAAATATTTTCCTGAGAGAAAATATTCAGATAATCCCGAGCAACCTGATTCTTAATAGGGCTAGTAAGACCCAAACTGAAATCATGGGAACTCTCGAATTGCTTAGCAAGTTTCTGTACTTTTTCCAAATTTGTGATCAAAATTTTACCACCTTCTTTAAGCGCTGGAATAGGCTTTTGAGGTTTTTTCAAAATTTTTGTGAGTTTCCAAAAGGGTTTGGAACTCGGGTCTAATTTAGAAACATTATTTTCAAAAGTTTTGTTCCTCAGGGCAGAGAATCGCTTTTTAATTTGTTTTTGCAAATCCCGCCAGATAACGTTCATGGCAGGATCGCGTGTTCTTTGATATTGTCTCCTACGGACATTTTTAAGACGGATCAAGAGCTGAAGATCATCGTCTATTATAATTGAATCGAATTTAACCTCGCCTTTTGGTACTGAGGCAGCTCTTGCTTCAACTATAGAAGTAGTCAGAGATTCAAGAGCATAATTAATTTCATCTTTGGTTTGCAAAGGAATGTTTGGATCGAAGTTATATTCCATAAATGTTCGATATTGCTCCCAATCAGCCCTATGGTAATTGAAAGTAGAGCTGTTGGGATTAGAAATTATTTCTTGGGATATTTCAAAGTTACTGGAAGGTGATCAGAACCGAAGTCAGCATGGGTAACCAATTGGCTACAAAGATGACATGAATCAGTTAAGATCAAATCAATAGTTGAGGGATTTCTTGCAGAAGAAAAGCATGTTGGGCTGTTTGGATATTGAATAGTGTAATAACCTGCAGAACAATCATCAAACAGAATATTACCATTGGAATTGCTTTGAGCATTATTCCATGAGCGGTGTTTTGCATTAAAATCACCAATAATGAAGAATTTAGACCTATGACGGGTAAGTTTCTGGAGGTCACCCTTGAGAAAATTCTTTTGCTGGCCTACGCATTGGAATGGCAAATAGGCAGCTATAAACGTAAGTTGTCCAAATTTTGTTTCAACAGAAACTCCCGAAGTTTCAAAAACTTTGGTTTCAAATGAAGAAAGAATTTTATGTTTGATTCGTCTATGAACAATGATGGCAACGCCACCACAGGGTCCATCAAGACGATCATTTCTATAAATTAAATAATTTGAGTCCTTCTTAACCTTATGGTCAGGTTTAAGGAACGTTTCAGTTATAACGGCAATATGCACGTTATGAACTCTCAAAAAGTTATATAGCTCGTCTTGATTATCTTTAAGAGATCGAGCATTCCAATTTACAATATTTAATGCTTTAGAATCCATTACTGTATTTTAAAGTCATAACAATATTATTTGCAAATTTTAGTCCAGTTTGAATAGCATCAAACATGGAGTTAGATTTAAGCATATCAGAAATCATGTCAATTAATGATTTCTGTAAAAATTCCATTTTAGGGGCAGTAATGCTTCCTAAGTCAAAATTGTCAAAATTTCCGTTAGAATTACTTTGGTTAGTATTTTGATTTCTACCCGTTGCAATAACTCGCTGAACATTGTTAGCAGCGAGGGGAGTACCTACGGGTACGAATGTAGAATTTGTTCCTCGCTGACCGTTGTTAACAGCAGAGGAATTTGTACCTGGTCGGAAACGTGTAGCGTTTCCTACCTGTCGCTTAGAACGAGATTGTAGGATCGCTTTGCGAGTCTTACATTCCCAAAAATTGGATTTGTGGTTTTCACCACAATTTGAACATTTAAATTTCTTAGGATCTTCCTTCACAGGACAGTCGTCCTTTGCGTGAGAGGAATCACCACAATTCATGCATTTAGCTGGCATGTAGCTTTTTTTAGTTTCGTGACCCCATCCCTGGCACTTACGGCACTGAGTGAGGTTTTGGAAATTTCCTCCAGTCTTCCTGAAGTGTTCCCACTTCACTCGGACATGGAGCATAAGGCTAGCTTTTTCTAAGGCCTTAAGGTTGTTTAGTTCACTAGACTTGAAGTGAACTAAATAAAAATCATTAGAAATCCCGTTGCGCGAATCGCCAGGACGGGATTTCATTTTCATTTTGATTACTTGGAGTGGCACAACTCCAAGTAATTTTGCCAGTTCATCTTTGATCTGATCCAGGGATTCACCACTGGGCAGTCCTTTCATGACAACCTTGAACACACGTTCAGTTTTGGTGTCGTAAGTAAAAAATTTGTGCTTCTTCTCAGTAAGATACTTAGAGACATTTAAATCCGTCCAAGGTTTCAGCCAATACACGGCATTCACCCCGACGTCCAATTTGTAGTGAAAACTTAACTTTCACGAAATTCAAAAGTTCCATGCGAAGAGCATGGAAATCGGAAGTGGTTATCACAATAGGGGGAATCTTTTCCTTCTTGGCATTAAGCCGGGAAAGTTTACTAGAATTTTTCTTGGATGCTGGATCATTCTCATCATCCGTGAGCAAATCAAATTGATTGCTCAAATTAATTTCATCAGAAGGGGGGTCAAGAGTTTGCCCCTTTCTTTTGCGTTTAGGCGCCATGGCGGCAGTAAATTTTTATCCAAATCGACTTCCAAGCAGATTACTATAAGAATCTGAAGGATCGAAGAGGAATTTTCCAAATCGATATCCAAGAAGGATTACCTCGGGTAGGGTCCAAACAAGGATCGAAGAGGAATAAGAGTTGAACAAGGTAGAAAATGTTTACAGGTTGAGCACTGAAAAGTGCTGTTTAAATTTGTTGTAGCTTTAGGTAGTAGTAACACTTCCTTCAGCAAAAAGCAAATAGATCCGCACGGCAAGAGAGCACGATGCGGACTGGATTGAACCCAGGTAATTACGCTTACTACTACACCACCGGCGCCGCTGCTCTCCAGAGTTGTAACCCTGTAACCAAACTTGGAAGCAGGGGATACTCTATATAAATGCTGTTCTAACTCTTTTCTGAAATGACTTCTAAATTTTCAGGGCCACCAATGTTACGTTGGTGATAAGTTTTAACCTCCGAAACCGTACAGAGTGCGTCCCTGTCGCTTCAGAGCGTAGACGACATCCATGGCCGTGACGGTTTTGCGCTTGGCGTGTTCAGTACAGGTGAAGGCATCACGAATCATAATTTCTAGGAACACCTTCAGCACACCTCGGGTTTCCTCGTAGATCAGACCGGAGATACGCTTGACACCACCACGTCGAGACAGACGACGGATGGACGGCCCTGGATGTTATCACGCAGAATTTCCCAATATCGCCAAAGCTGCATCATCATGACTGTATATAGCCAATGGGAAGCGTGAAAATATGGTACCGGCAGAGCTGGTTGTCTATATGACAGGTTGCTAACTACGCTTTTGGCTGATGTTAGTAACCCGTGCGAGTTGGTGGATGGTAGAGTGGCCTTTTCTAAACCTGAATTGCTCTTCGAGAAAGATGTTATTATCATTTGAAAACACCAGCAGACGGCGCCTGAGTATCAACTTTTCGAATAGCTTTGAGATGGAGGACAAGAGGCTGATGGGGCGATAGCTTTTGGCACGGGTAGGATCTTTGCCAGGCTTGTGTATTGGAATCACTTTGGCTAACTTCCAGCATGCAGGGAAGTAACCAAGCTAAAACATTTGTTGAAGATAACGGTAAGATGGATGAAGAAGTCAATACTCAAGTTTTTCAACCCGCACCCTTCATGTTTTTAGTACTTGTTCGCAACGTTAGGGATTCTTGAAGCAAAGTCCTTTTATGGTTCAAGACAGGCTCAAGCTGTAAATTTTATTGATTAATTAACCAGCTTGAATAGTTCAACAAATTCGTACTTACAATTTAGTGCCCAAACAATTCTAGGTGCGAACAATATACGGATCTTTAAGATCTAGTTTTAATCTGTAGGTTTAGTTGTAAATTCAATAGTTTTAAGGTATTTCATAGGAACAAATTAGTAAATAATCTTACGAAATTCGGCTAAGGGTAATTCTTTCTGTCCTCACTCGAGTATTTCACTTCACATACAATATCAACAAATTTCAATCAGACAATAGACAATAGACCTATGTATACTCCCTACATCTGACGTTCGTTCGTTGTACTGGTTGGGTCATCCTTTTGGCTCACTTGTCCGAGGGGCTTGCACGCAACATCCTCCCCCTCATGTCGCCTCAGCTTCCGCTAGGCGTCATCTTCCGGTTCCACATCCAGTAGTGCAAGCTTGACGACAGGCCTTCGTAGTATGCCACCCGAAGTCATCACCTCAGCTTGTCGCACTGTCCCATCCTTACCAGGATACGTACGCACCACCCGACCTCTCAACCACCTATTCCTGACCTTCTCATCCGCTATGACTACCAACTCACCCTCTTTAATCGGCCTGACATTTTGAAA